CATTTCTTAGGCAGAAACTATCACCAAATCGTTAAAAATTGTTGTTTTAACATTAAAAATGAGAAAAATAACAGCATAGCATGATGTATAGATATATAAAGGTTAGTTTAGTGCAATAAAATAGATTTCCAAAATTTTGAAATTCCAGCATGTTTTGCCCATTATCTCCAAAACAGGATTTGCGACGAGTGACTGGTTTGGCTTGTCTTTGCCACATATGCTCATTAATAATGATCCATGTTAAATAAAGCTTGACACATGCAAAATGGATAGCAAAAGCAATGGAAATACTATTTGCTTGTAATGTTATAACAGTTTGAATTTTATTTTAAAATTTATTACACTATAAAATTGTACTGTATTCAAAGTAAATATAGCGATATAGCGGTGCACAGCTAGTTATCCAGCAATGTACAGCATGCTGCCTAGAGCAGTACCTAGAGATTCAGCAATGCTGGCATAAAATTAACTGGCAATCAAAGAACTGCGGACAATATATACCAGGCCCATACTAATAGTGTTCCCTCCTGTTTTTATATACAGGTTATTCATTCAAAGTGAGTTGAATCAAAGAATTGCAAGCGGTCCAACTCTTGAGATTTCCTGGAAACGGAATCCTATCTCGAATAGAGTACTAGCCATGAACTAGAGGGTGTCCTTCAAAGGAACGTAAAAGACGTTTGTATCGGCATGCTGTCTAACGAATGCATGTTCGAGTTTTGAACTCTATTCAAATTATAATAGGCCGCCACATATCTTGTGGAAGTAATGTACACTTCATTTCATTCTGTGCATGCAACAAATATGGTGAGTCAGACGTCTTGCAATTCTATACTCTGGCTGAACTTGCCAAATTATTTTTAAATTTGATGTAATGCAGTGCTCCCAACAATGTAAAGACACCAACAATGGTGTACTTAAAAGTACAAACCAACAATTCTGGACTTGCCATGGGTGAGCTACAGTAGATAAGTACTAATACTGTCATGAGTAAATGGGTTTCCAGCTTATAGATACTGTAGCTTAACCCTGCAGTGGTTTTACAACGATTGAAATGAAGATAGTGATAGTGATTAATGATAAAAGTGACCTACTGTACTGTACAGTATACCCAATCATACCAACATTTCTGTATTTTAACAGTCATCATTATGATGATTTTCCAGAACCTGTTAGATCACAATTAATAACAAATGAATCATTATATTTATTGTACGGCGAGAAGTTTTTTATACCCTGTTCCGCAAGCTTAATTTTTCAGAAGAGGGCCAAAAAATAAATAAAAATTAAATTTTGTTTTCTTTATTTAGCAAATAATTTTGCCAAAAATATGCAGACGAAGAACATTTTTTTTAAGTGAATGTAAACAGTGTGGTAATGCCATGGTTAAATGCTTTAAATTTATATAACTATGAAGAAATATACATCTTATTTTTGGAGATTTCAAGGCAGCGGCAGGTGTAATAAAAATAAAGAAAAACTTTTATATTTTTTTCTGGAATTTACATTTTTTCATTACATGGTTAATTGGCCAAAAAGAAAATTATATTTCAATTCAAAATCATATATTAGCGGGTTGCGGGTTCATTTAACAAGGTATAAAAAAAGTCTTGCCTAAAGATAACATAATTGTATGATTTTTTTGTGGAGAATTGACTGAAGTTTAGATTAAATACTTATAATACTGATGATGTTGTGGAAGATATCAATTATATCCCTCTATTATAATCTTTTCAATTATGCAAATCACCTCTTAATCTCTGGAGCCGGATTTCTCATTCAAAACAATCTTCTACAATACAAATACTGACTCTTAATACTGTTGGAACATCCTTGATGTACTGTAATTCACACCAAAAACACTCCTACCTGCACTTACTGTATATCCTATCATCCACACTATCCTACCACTCACACATTTGCTGTGTTGATAAAAATACAACTAAAATATAACAGATTATATCATTTTGCAATAGTGTTGTGGACACAAGAACAATTCTCCAATTGATCATTTGCCTGTGTTAGGCCAAGTAACAAAAAATCCTTGTTTTCCGTCCTGGGTTTTTCAAAAAGTTAGTGAAGGAGGCACTTAGTATTTGATATTTGATATATTTTTCACAGTTTGTCAAAATATGCCAAAGCATGTGTAGCAAAATGTCTTGTAAACAACTAGTCAATATAGTTTTGTCAATGCAAAAATAATTGATGCAGGCCCAAAAAATGGTGAGGGAGGGGATGGAAAACAAGGAATTTTTATTATTTGGCCTTAGTAATACTTGATAGTTTCATTAATTTTTTGTAGCATATCTTTCTATTACATGATGGTCATGGAAGTGCACAATTTTTGATAAAATTCCATTTCTCTTCTCCTTTATTTAGAGACAAGGAACCTTTGTTGAGTCACATAATAAATTATTTTTAAATAATTTTCATTGTACTATCATACTAATCATTATCATTAAAAATATCATGTTATGCTTTGCTGCAGTCTATGAAAGTATGAGGATTAGACAACATTACTGTAATACAGGGAGTTCTATTTTTAAATACAAGACGCATAGTACCGTATTGAACTGTATTAAAATTGATATTTATGTGTACATACAACTACAGCAGAGAAAATAGCTTTTAAACGAAATTTGTATAGAGGTTTTTATGACATACAGGTTCTGTACAATAATTGAAATGCATTTGTAATGGAAAATAATGCACTGCTTTACTGTAGCTAGGGGAAGGCTGTATCTTTTGAGATAAGAAAAAAAATAATCACTGATTTTATGCTATTTCACAGCACAAACTTGTATGTGTGCTAGGCAAGAAGCATCAACAATATTTATATTTTATTAGTTGACTACTGTATTTTGAGTCTGCTTTAAAGTCAGAAAATTGAAATTATAAACAAAATGCATTGAAATGCAATTTTTGTTATAAAACAGGAATACATTTTGAGAAGATTCACAATCTTAAATGAATAGATAAATGTGAATTTAAATTAATAATGTCTGATATTACCATCATTAATGGATTATATAGTAGGTAGAGAATAATATCACACAAAATATCAATTTCCTCTTATTTAATTATTCATAATGTTGTCACTTGCCTTGGCAAGGCCTGTGATGAAGAAACAGCTGTACTGATGCAAATAAACTACATAAAGCAATCGGTAATATAAACCTAATGGTAATGAAGGCACTGCAGATATCAATATATCAATTCCAGTTGACAATTGCATGCCTCATTTAAGACCAAAACAATGCATTTAGTAAGCTGCAAGTAAATTAGTAACTTAAAAATGTCTTCAAGAACAGTACACATCAAATCCTGCCTTTTCTTTTGGTACACATTGGTGCTTTTTTTCTAAATATATTTTGACAATAATTGTTCTTTTTCCAGTGACTAAAAATAGATCACAGCTAAAAGTAAAGTAGTGTATTTACCATACTGGCTACAGTCCAAATATAAAAGGCCCTTTAAATGCCCTGACTCAGCAACTTTATTGTTTGATCTTGTTTTTAAAAAAACAGGTTAGTTGTTTAGAGACACTCTAAATAATAACATGTTCTATTTATGAGGCTTACTGTATGGAGTAGAAATGTTTTCTTAAGACATTAGATAAAAATCTAGCAGTACAGAATTTAAACTCAGAGTCTGGGATTGGAAAGGAAGAATCTTAACTTTCTTTTATTAACCACCAAGCTACAATACACACCCAGACTGGTATACAGTATGTTGTGATACAACATGGACTTGTGGGTAATGGACTTGTGGGTATGGATTTGTGTATGTTTTGGTACAACTGATTTGATTGGTTTGGGAGTTTGTTACAGTATGGTAAAATATGACTTGTTGGTATTTTGTGGTAAAGTACTGTATTTACTGGTGCTGTGGTACAGAAGTATTGACTAAATATGTGGTACAGTTTTGAACTTAAGGTGTTTGGTGGTGCAGTTTTAATTTGTGATGGAAATTTGGTAGTATTGGCACAAATATGTACAACAATAAAAACAGACATGAAATAATCTACAGTATGTTTAATACTTTGGAAAAAAAGAAATGCGAAAAAAAAAAATATAATAATTTACAGCAGTCAGTAAAAACAATGAACATACAAAACATTATTACACATTTAGTTAACACATGGACTCTGCTTTCATTGGAAACCCCACTTGAATAAAATATATAAAACAATAATGGTAATTATTAAATCAGTATTATTAAAATATTGTTGATATCAGTATTAAAATATTGTTTCAATAGTAAAAATGGTAACAAAAAAGAAAGATGTATAAATCGACTCACTTGTTAGTAAACTTGCATCTTTAACTTTTACCATAATGTAGAGTTGAAGGACGAGTTGAGGTGCGGATTCCGTATACGCTTCAATCAAGCGCAGCATTGTCACGTCACGATATTCATACACCATGTTACGATAATATTTCTGATTCAAGCGGCTCTTAAAACCATAACGTAATGTTCGAATATACCTACAAAAACAAAATACATCTAAGGTAATTTTTAACTTGAAGATCACACTATTATACTCATACAAAAAAAACGGAATGTGTAGTCAGTTGCTATTGAAGCCTGTGGTGGACAGTGGTACTGAGCAGAAGTGATGCCTTCACCCCCTCCTGGGCAGCAGCAACAATAAACAATATTTAATGTACAGAAACCCTTCCAAGAACTAAAACATGGAATCAAGGTTGGTATACCTATTGACAGCGCCAAGCTGTAGTACATGAGTTAGAAGCCAACTGGTCCATTCCCAAAGTTTATTTGCAAAACCAGAACGTGCTTGAGTTGGGTCCGGGCCTTGGTTGTGTGTTTCATCTCGGTGCCTCTGGTCATCTGTCACAAACCACCGAAGGCTGAGATATTGCAAGGTAAATGACGGAAAGATCACAAAGAAAAATGTCAAGCCACACCACCAATAGTCCCTATCCCTGAGGTATTTGAATCCAACTAAAATATCTGTTACCAGGTCAGCAATATATGTCCACATACCACCAAAAATGAAAATGGCATCAAAGTTTGTAAAGCGCAAATTTTCCATATTTGTTTCTGGTGTAATTTCCGAGTTATGGTTTTCAGCAGCAGACCTGCCATTGTTTTGTGGTATAGTTAATGTCCTCATTGTGGAAAGCTAGCAAGTCCTATTCATCAATTTGTTAACCTGTAAACAAAACATAGAAATGAATACATTAAGCAGGAGACTATACTGATAATTACTGTATTTTGACGTTGATGAACTTTATAACTGTACAGTATTTAAAGCAAATTGTCCCGGACGAAAAAAGTAGACGTGGTCAGGCGTCGCTCAAAATCTCTTAAAAGTGTTCCAGTGGGCAAAGCCCCCCAAAAATATGAATATTTACAGTAGGTGTTTCAAAGGCTTATTTAATGGTTTTTGGAGTATACTAATATGTAGAAAATATACATATCCATTTTTTTCTCCCCGACGAGACAAGTCTACCGCAATTCGCAGAATTGAAATTGGGACGGCCTCCAGCAAATTCATGATATGCATTTTTTTATCACTTTATTATTAATTGTCTGACATAAGTCAGTGTTGATGGGTATCATCATGCACAGCAAAATAGAATGGCCTCCCACAATCTGAAAGCAAGCACCTGCAGGAAAATAACCATCTGCAGTATTTTATCAAATAATTCGCCCAGCTTTGGATAAACGCCCCCACCCCCAGAATAAAGGCCTCCACTAGATTCTCATTTGGAGTAAAAGCCTCCCTCAAATAAACAGCCGAGGCGTTTATTTTATCCTCGAATAAACACCCCCTTAATCAAATGACTGTGAACAAATCTAATGGAAGCAACATCATTCTCAACAAATTCTATTACAGTAATCTTGAAAGAATTACATTTTCACCAAACCTGGTTGGGGTCAATAAGTTTTTATAATACATGCAATAACACATTTTGACAGTAACTATGTGTTGTAGTTCCACAAGGGCATTTATTGAAATTCATTTTACACATAAAAAAAGAACAAAAACAAAAGACGCCTCCCTTGAATAAACGCTTCCTGAAAAACCCTTCTCAACCGAATAAATATGTTATAAATTATTATTATCAATTGTTTTACAAAAGTCAGGGATGATGGGGTATTACTATCATCATACACAGCAAAATAAAATTAAATGTGTTAAGAAAGCTCATTTAACCACATTTAAGACTTCTTCCAACTTGGGACCACTGGTATATTCAATCAAGTTAAGCTTAAATTCAAGACAAACATAATATATTTAGAAATGATACAAACTAATTGAATATTATTAGATGATAAAAGATTGGAGCTCAAACATTTCATTGCCATTATAAATTATACTGAAGTTACAATACATATCTCATGCAGTATGGATAGAATGGAATGCCTTGTTAGTTATAATGAATTATTACTAGGCATAATTATATAATAATAGGGTCTATTATACAATAATAATAATAATAATAATAATAATAATAATAATAATAATAATAATAATATAAACGTCAAAATCTTTTTCAAAACAGTACCATACATTGGATAGTTAGTAATCGACAAAAATGAAGAAGTATGGAAAATTCTTTTCTTAGCTAGGCCTAGGGCAATTTAATATACAGTAATAGGGTAATTCACTTACCTTCGTCTAGGCCTGGGTAGGTAGCTCCAGAGGCGCTGTCTCTTCTGGCGTCTACAGACAGGTGGCTTTATCTAGTAAAGAAAAGCTAGGGTAAGGGAGGAAGGCTAGGCCTAGCCTTTGCTTTGGTGTGTACCGGTGGGTTGTACTGTCAGTTTCTCTCTAAATGAAAATATTAACTATAAACGATAAATAAAAAAGACAGGAACACATGCAAACCATTTGTTGCCATTATAAAATCGTTTTATTGCTGTTCGTACACACGATTGCAGATTGTGAAAAAAGGATAAACCAGAACATCCTCCCACACAGTGCACCCGCAGCGCAGTCTATATCAAAACAAAAGAAAGAACTTAACCATGGGATGATGGAAGTTATACTACTAGCGCCCCCATTGTTTAAAAACCCACTGCACCAAAGAATACAGTGTAGTGTCGGGAGAAAGTACCGGTCATAAAATATTAAATAATAATAATTTTGGCTTCGGCCGTCAAAATCACTGGTCACAACTAGTGACATTTATTTAATTTCTTTTCAAAAGTCATACAAATATAAAATAAAAAATCTATAACAATTCAGGAAAAAATATCTTGTGATGAGTCAGCCTGAAACAAAGACAAGAAAAAAAGAAAGAAAGAAGACATGGACAAATCAGGACAAAGAAGACACAAAAGAAAAGAAGAAAGCAACAGGTTAAATTAGACCAAAATTTTGTGTAAAACAAGAAGGATAATTAGGACGATATCTACCTTAACAACTAGAAATAAGGTGTTTCTTAAGCTGGATAAAATTATTTATCCAGCTCAAGAAGTCATTGGCGGATCTGAGGGGGTCAGGAGGTCCTGATTCCCAAACCACCCTCTCTTCGACAAACAATAAAATTAAATGAAAAAAGAAAAATTTTAATTTAAAAAAATTCTAGACGGGAAGCTCATTTCGCACCACCGAATCAAAATTGTCCCGGTGGAGGACCCACAACCCCCTTTGTTTTTGGGTTTCATCGATTCATGGAAAAAAGAATACGTATGCAACTACTCATTTTTTATGTATATCACACATAATAGGCCTAGGCCTATTTACTGTATGAGAAAAATTTACCTGACCGTCAATGTAAGTTACCGGTACACTTTGTGATTGATTGAAAGTTTGTTAGCTGCAAAATATTGGGACAGGGACCGGGAGGGTTGAAATAACAGTGTCAAATAAAGTTTGAATGTTTTTGTTAGAATAAAAATTGTTAGTGTCATCAGCGTCAGAAAAAAAGAAAGGAAGCTTGAAGATAAATGGACACCATTAATATATAAAATAAAAAGGAGTGGGCCTAACAAAGACACATGAGGAACATGGAGTTAAAATATTTGGTACACTGACAACGATTTGAAGTTAACTATAAAATAAATCGAGGGCTGGGCCGCCTATTCCATATGGGACAATTAAATTTGTATAAAAGAATTTTGTGGTCGATCGTATCAAAAGCCTATAAAAAAGGTCGATGAAAATTTCTATTTTCTATTTGTTTTCAAATGCGTCAACAATTATGTTTGTAAAGTCAATAAGAATCATAGGGGCAATTGTATCCTTTCGTGCGTTCCATACAAATACCTCAATACATTCAAGGGTCTGTTGAATAGAGAAAACCTCCTTAAATATTTTAAAATAACTTGAAAATCTAAGTAGGCCTAATGTAATTTAATTTGGAGTTGGAGTTATGAGACTTTTTGGTTCCCATAAATTTGGAGTTTTCAGTGGTCTTTAGCAACTTTTTCGCGGTGATAGACCTTTCCTATAATTCGACCCTTTCTATTATACTCCTACACTTTCGGAGTCCTTAGGAAGTCGACTTTACCCATCACAACCAGACCATGGCACAAGTGGTCTTTGAAAGGAGATATTAACAAATAGATATAAATAATTTCTCTTATTATGATCAAAAATTAATTGTTTTGTTTAAACGCTTTTTGTTTATCATAAGGCATTTCTTATCGTTTTAATGTTCTACTATAATTAAGCTATTAAACGTCCGAAAAAGTAGAGAATTCATGGGCCCAATAATGATAAATTTAATGAAGACATCGCCATTTTGTAAAATAGTCTTTTCGTTAATTTTTGAAGATCACAACTGAAAAATGACCCAACAATTTTTCATATAAAGGTAGGTTAATGAAAACGTGGATCATCAATATTAATAGGCCCAAAAGGGCGTGGGAACGCAATCTCTACGTGAGAAATTTCGCTTTGACATTATCAAGCCTCGCTCAAAAAATTGTTCTACTTATCAGTGGTTGCTGAAATTTGCCAGCGGCGGGGTCTGAACCAAAGCGCCACCTAGGGCCTCAGTATTATGGTTCATAGTTCTGTCCTTGCCACCTCCACCACTGGCGCTGCAACTGGTTTTATTGTCTCAATAAATCATGCATGCTTTGGAACGAGTTATTCTAGCTTCTAGTCTAGAAAATTCGCACATAAAACAACTCCGAAATATATTTACTCTTGTGTTCATTTTTTATTTACAGTAATTTCTAATTCAAATATACAGTATTTATTAATATACAGTATTTATTAATATACAATATATCAAAATTCAATACAGATATGCTACTGGTCATCTATTTCACTAATTTCTCTACCTTCATTTCAATAAATGGCACAACACAAAGAAAAACAAAAATATATAATGTATATTCCTGAATTATATATAGAGGTACATTATCACATGGTATTCTATATTATTATATACCTGGAGAATGCAGGTGAAACATAAGCTGCAAATAACACCATCTCTCTCCTCTTAATTCGTATATAATGCAGTGGTGTGATTGTTGGTGAAAGAAACACATTTTGCTTTTGGGCATAGTTGTAGTCAAGCATTATTTGTATTCTACAATACAAAATGTGCGTTTTGTGCACTATCATAAATTTGTGCTTCTTTGTGGTGTGAGCAATCTATCAATCTACCTATCTACATACATATCTATGCGACCTATCCATCTATCTATACACATATGCATCTATGCATCCAATTATATTAAACATATTCATGCATAATCATGTTATGGGCTCAAAACAAAGGAGCAATTCAATCAATTAAACAGACAAAAGTACTAATCAATCTAGTGACAACAAAGTCTGATGAGAGTGTGGGTACTGTGAAAACTGAAAAGCCTCAACGAAAATTCCACATGGGAAGACAGTCAAGAAAATGTGTCGAGTACACTACTGCTGCTGCATTCCAGTTATATCGAGATCAACAGGTCTGTTAGGATGTGATGCTGAGGCAATGATTCCCGAAGGTTTGGTACTATAGGGACTTTGGGAGAGTTAAAAAATGGATCGTCAAAGCCAAATTGATGGCCGCATCAAATGCACACAGCCATCTTTATCCTTCTTGGGACGCTCCCATCTTGTAGTGAGGGGTATATTAAATCAACAAAAAATTTTAGGGGGTGCTCTAACTTACTCTTTATTTCGAGCCCATAACAATCAAATCAACAGGTTAAATCAGAACAGCTGCATAGTACATTACGGAATATATAAACAAATCAATAAATAGAGAACTGTACTCAAAAAAGGAACAATTAAAGTAATACTCATGTCAAGGATAACTTTTCAAGTATTAATACTTAAGCAGCTGTCTCTTATACACATCTAGATGTGTATAAGAGACAGCTCCTACACTTTCGGAGTCCTTAGGAAGTCGACTTTACCCATCACAACCGGACCATGGCACAAGTGGTCTTTGAAAGGAGATATTAACAAATAGATATAAATTAATTGTTTTGTTTAAACGCTTTTTGTTTATCATAAGGCATTTGTTATCGTTTTAATGTTCTACTATAATTAAGCTGTTAAACGTCCGAAAAAGTAGAGAATAATTCATGGGCCCAATAATGATAAATTTAATGAAGACATCGCCATTTTGTAAAATAGTCTTTTCGTTAATTTTTGAAGATTATAACTGAAGAATGACCCAACAAGTTTTCATATAAAGGTAGGTTAATGAAAACGTGGATCATCAATATTAATAGGCCCAAAAGGGCGTGGGAACGCAATCTCTACGTGAGAAATTTCGCATTGCCATTATCAAGCCTCGCTCAAAAAATTGTTCTACTAATCAATGTTTGCTGAAATTTGCCAGCGGCGGGGTCTGAACCAAAGCGCCACCTAGGGCCTCGGTATTATGGTTCATTCTTATTATATCTCTATGGGTTCATAGCATAGAGCTATTATATCTCTATGTTCATAGCAAAGAGTATGAAACTGCAAGAGGTCCGACTGCCGGGTATTCTTTGGAGCGCAATCCTATTTCAAAAAGTACTACCCAAAAGGGGCGTGGCCCTTAAAAGAACGTAAAGTGTGTTCATATCGAACGCGTGCTGCGTGTCTAGAATGTATGCTGGAATTCGAAACGCAGCACGCGTTCGATACGAACGCCTTTCATTTTCCTTATGAAGGACACGCCCCTTCGTGGGAGTACTTTTTTAACGTTCTATTGCCTGTATACAAAATAAGGGCAGTCGGACCTCTTGCAGTTTTATACTCTTTGTTCATAGTTCTCCTTCCTTGCCACCCCTACCACTGGCGCTGCAACTGGTTTTATTGTCTCAATAAATCATGCATGCTTTGGAAATAGTTATTCTAGCTTCTGGTTTTTGCAAATCCGAAACTCGCACATAAAACAACTCCGAAATATTTCCTCTTGTGTTCATTTTTTATTTACAGTAATTTCTAATTCAAATATACAGTATTTATTAATATACAGTATTTATTAATATACAATATATCAAAATTCAATACAGATACGCTACTGGTAATGTATTTCACTAATTTCTCTACCTTTATTTCAATAAATGGCACAACACAAAGAAAAACCAAAATATATAATGTATATTCCTGAATTATATATAGAGGTACATTATCGCATGGTATTCTATAATAATTTTATATACCTGGAGAATGCAGGTGAAACATAAGCTGCAAATAACACCATCTCTCTGCTCTTAATTCGTATATAATGCAGCGCTGTGAATTTTGGTGAAAGAAACACATTTTGCTTTTGGGCATAGATGTTGTCAAGCATTATTTGTATTCTACAATAAAAATATGCGTTTTGTGCACTATTATAAATTTGTGCTTCTTTGTGGTGTGAGCAATCTATCAATCTACCTATCTACATACATATCTATGCGACCTATCCATCTATCTATACACATATGCATCTATGCATCCAATCATATTAAACATATTCATGCACATAAAACAGCTGTAGACAAGTTGTTATTACCTAAATTAAAATATCATTAAATGATTCAAAATAGCTCATTCACTGCACTTCTGTATCAACAAATTAAACATCTGGACATTCTACATGGTTTCTTACCTGTATTAATACTATAATAATCCAAAGAAATATTGCGCATTAAAAAAGCAACTGGCAATCAAGTATTGGTTTCATATAAATATTTCAATTTGATTCACTAGTAAAATGCATAACTTTATAATCAAAGTATAAAGTAAAATCCTGGTTAAAACTTATAAAGAATTGTGTTTGGTAAAGAAGAGGTAATCCAGCATCTAATAAAATCTCTCAAGCAAAGCATGCAGTATACTTCCAGGTATCTTCTGATGCTCAACAATCAGCTTTTCTAATGCATTGCGACACTGAAAAGACACAAACCACCTCTTTTTAATGGTAAGCACATGACACAGGTAATTGGAAACATTTTTTTGTAATGTTATTCAATATTATAAGACACCTACATAGATCCTTGTCAGTGACATTGGTTATCTACACCATTTTGTCACTCATCATAAAAAGCAAGTTCCATCTGTGCATTTTTTGTTCCATTCATTTTGTCCCATTGCATGCCTCCACCTAACATGTTTTCAATGGTTGAAAGAAGATGGAATGTTCCATTCTGAAGAAAGACAGACCTAACCTTTTCCTTCACTGTTTCAATTAAAACCATTATTTAGATATTATGTCTGTCAGGTAAAAATGATTGTCACTTATGACAGTAATTAGTTTCGCTCTATTGGCAATTTTTTCCTAATGTGCCTAATAAATGAAAAAAAGAATTATAGCTACCAATCTTAATGTGGAAGGGTTCAGATGAATCTGCTCTTTTGCATGTTATTTCAGTGCAAATGACGCAATAAAAGGAGCAAAATCGATATGGTGATTAATAATTTTAGAATGATTTTTACCTCAAGAGCAAGCTGTTCAGCAGTGGTTCCAGCTTTACATGCAATCGGATCTCCAATGAACGTCCTGCAATAACATCAATATTAAACATTATTTATTCTTTATACAGGTTTAAATATTGCTCTTCTATTACCCTGACGTTCAATGAGTATTCATATAATCAACATCAAAACATACTGTAGTAGTACTAATTTTGAAACACCATTCCTCTTCCAAAAGAGCACATAATAAAATCATAATTGTAGGTATTTTTGAGATCATTATTTTTTTATGTGCATAAAAGTAAATATACACTATTGATCTTAATCTCTAGCATATGTTTTGTACTCTCATTGAAATAGGGAAAAGAGGGGGGGGGGTTCCCCCTTATTGAGATTACTTAAATATCTATAAATGTATATTTAAATCTGCTGTGCTATCTAATTGGTAAAGAAAAATTTGCAAATTTTGCAGCCTTTGTATCATCAACGACACTGTAGATCAATTAAAAAAACTATACACACCTCAGCTTGACAGGGAATCCACCATATATAGGTACAATAGGAAGTCTTGTTTTCTCATACAACCACTGGAAGAATGGACGGCCAAAGCTAAGGGCACGGAATGCTTCGCGACAATTTTGAGTAAAGATTGGAATAATGGGCTGAAAGTAAAGTAGAGGAGTCAATGCCATATATCTAATAACACAGCATCTGTGTGTTACATAATCCTTTGAAAGAAAGACTGCATTAGCAATATCTGATTAAATATTTAATTTGACTGGTGGTTGTCTTATACGCTAATAAATATAACTGGAGATAATTGATGAGGAATTTCACACAGCAAACTCAGTAACAATCTAGGAGCTTCTCCATTCACTAGGTGGGAGCTGAAGAAGTCCATTAGAAGTTGTGGGTTAGGGGATGGTGGGATATTCAATGTCTTAGATAGGAATGTAAATGGTAGGGGGCAAGTGGAACCCAGATTCGATTAAAAGAGCCCTCAGAGGCTCCAACAATGTATGGGATGTGAAAGCTTAAATTGATTCTTGAGTCTCCTAATCTGTAAATATTAATTTCTTTTTACCCCATCAAAATATGTTGAGGTCACACTGATGGGAACCATGGCCCAAAGCCCAGTCTAGACTATGAAATTTTATTTGACAAAAACATATAAAAAGACTAAATATGGTCATGATGACATCACACCATAACCATATACAGGCACAACATGACTATATATGGGCATACAACAAGGTTTTTGTCAAAAAAAATTTGATGTGGACAGAGCATGCTCAGAGTGGGCATGCTACTACAGTAGATTTTAAAAATAAAAATTAAACCAAATCAAATACCACTTGTGCAGCAATAGCACACTTTGCAAATCCTATTCTGGTCTTCCAACGTAGTTGGTAATATTCATTGCTAAAGTACGCTTCACGAACACCTCCAGGTGAGATTGCAAGCAGGTTGCCTTTTTTCAACATATCTGACAATTCTTCCCGGCAGCCACCTGGTGTCACATTAAATACCTGCATTAATAATTTAAAACCTGAAAAAAAATTTAAAGTATTTATTATACAAGATATATATATTATACAAGATATATA